TTATACATATTTATTATTATTATTTTATATTTAGTAACATTAACATTTTTAAAATAAGAAATCAAAAAAACTTATGTATCATGATATGATTGCAAGACTTAAATCTTATGTGGTTGTTATAGTCATATTGACTTTTTCAGAAATATTATAATTAAGATAACTTGTCATTTTAATGTTAAAACTAAATTATATATAATGTGTTAATTTTTTTTTTAAGTTTCTCTTATACATATTGTTTTAGTAACATTAACAATTTTAAAATTAACAAATCAAAAAATTTATGTGTCATGATATGATTGGAGGACTTAAGTTCTATGTGGACGTCCTTATGCCTTATAGCCTCAATTTTTATATAGTATAGATAGATAATATCTAATAATATTTTTCATATCTTTTGAGGACTAATAATATAATTTGAAAACAATGACATTTTATAAAAATAATAAACTAATATAATGATGTGTCATTATACGATTGGAGGACTTAAATCCTACGTGGACGTCCTCAATGGCTTATAGCCTCAACTTTTATATAGTATAGATAGATAGATAATATCTAATAATATTTTTCATATCTTTTGATCAATAAGTAATAACTCGAAACTCATTAGCAAACCAATCTTATAGATGTTACGTGCTTCCCAAAAGTGAATCATTCTAGCAAGAACTTCATTCTTATTAAAACTTTTTCTAAGATCATCGAAAACCAAAGAAGAAGTCAAAATCAACCATTGTATCAATATATCTTTTCTCTTTCCAATATATCTATGTTTCTCAACATATATTTTGAAAACTTTTAGAACTTTAGACAATTATTTATAGTCACCCAATACTTCATATATTATAAAATTTCTTATTGTATTTTATGTTAATATACAGACATTTGGAAATCCTAACATTAAAATTTGGAAATCTTAACATTTTAAATATTAATAACCTGTTTTATTCTATTTTATGTTAATATACAGAACTTTGGAAATCCAGACATTTAAATTTCAAAATCTTGACAATTTAAAAACTAATAATTTATATTAATAATTTTCTTTATTCCATGTTATGTTAATATAGAGAAATTTGGAAATCCTAACATTCAAAATTTCGAAATCTAACATTTTAAACTAATAATTTATATTAATAACCTAATTTATTAGATAATATATATTTTTTAATTAAACTAATTTGGAAACAATGATATTTTTAAAAAAAAATTAAATTAAATTTATTTTATCTTTGTAAGATGATTTTTGTTACTT